AGCCTGTTAGTTCTCGAAATTTTATGGAACTTCCTTAGTGTTTCTGGAGAAAATGCACTTTTAGGTGGTCGTAAAGTTTAATAATCATTACCGAAAACCATGTGAGTTGATTTGCATGTTTATCTATAATCCCTTACATTCAGAATCTATCTGTGGCTTTCCAAAACCATTAATTTACTCAACAACTAATTAGTAACAAAAGTGGATATTTTGAATTACGTTAAAGAATGTCTGAGTACAAACAAAACTACCCAATGTAATCTGTAATCCTTTCTACCAACTACCCACTAGTCAACATTTAGAAATCATCAATAGACTACAATCTGAATGTTATAGATTGGATACTTTTATTTTTGTTAATTGCTATGAAGCACTTGTCATTAAAATACTACTCCATACACTGCTAGTGCCCATCATTACATATCGTCAATTTACAGTTGACAACAATTCGAAAACAGTGTTACACAGTCAGAGAACTCTCTCACAATGAAGTTGATCAATTCAATGTCACAGAGAAACAGTGAACACTGTTAAATGACATAAAATTGACCCTATGTTGACCTGTATTCTGCGACTGGTTGAGTTGTCATTACCTCTAGTAGGATGAAACAGTCGTGAAGTCTCATTTGATCTTCCATGTTTCCAAAGTGAAGATTCATTCCATTTGAAAGATTTTTTTGACAATTGAACTGATCTTTACAACCAATCTATTAATTACGATCGACTTATCTACCACGAAACACAGATCCGTCAATAATGTTATCTATTTGAAAGAGCATGAGCGAAATTTGAAGTGGAAAGTGGTGCAGTTGAAAAGGGTGCATATTAATAAGGGCGATCATTAAATAGCGAGCAATTTAATAATTGTGAGCATTAAAAAACAGGAATAACATTTTTAATTATGTGAAACATGTTCGACATATCCTGTGTCCCGTTGCCCTACAAATAACCGAAAATGTAGTTTTCTGAACATACAATGTTGAGTCTACATTTATCAAATACTGTGAGTTTTGGAATTCAGTGACAGTATTTTATTCATGTTACTTCAGTTTATAATTTCGTACACCTAAATGATCATCTCTTTAGAGTCATGTTTGTTTTATTGGATTCCCAACGGAATAAGAGTTTAGCAAACATGAGGTGACCAAAATTGTTTCCAAAATTGTCATAATTACGGACAAATATGAAGAGATCACGTGATTTGGGTAATACAAATAAAATATTCTTATCGAATTTGGGAAAAAATCACAATATTTGTTAAAAATAGATTTGACATTGAATGTTCAATAAAACTGATGCCTTGTCGGACGTTAACACCTATACATATCTGGGCAGCATCATCGACAACCAAGGTGGATCCGATGCAGATGTGAGGGCGTAGATCGGCAAAGCAAGTACTACATTTCTACAATTGAAAAATATCTGGAAATCCAAACAACTTTCAAACAAAACCAAAATCAGGATTTTCAATTTAAATGTCAAAACAGTTCTACTGTATGGAACGGAAACATGGAGAACTACGAAAGCCATCATCCAGAAGATACAAGTGTTTATTAACAGTTGTCTACGCAAAAATATACTTCGGATTCGTTGGCCTGACACCATCAGCAACAATTTACTGTGAGAAAGAACAAACTGGATTCCAGTGGAGGAGGAAATCAGGAAGAAGCGGTGGAAGTGGATAGGACAGATACTACGAAAAGCACCTAACTGCGTCGCAAGACAAGCCCTCACATGGAACCCTCAAGGCAAAATGAAAAGAGGAAGGCCAAGGAACACATTTCGCCGAGAAATAGAGAAAGATATGAGAGGAATGAACAAACATTGGACAGAACTGGAGAGGGAAGCCCAGGACAGAGTTGGTTGGAGAAAACTGGTGAGCGGCCTATGCTCCATCGGGAGCAACAGGCGTAAAGTAAGTAAGTAAGTAAGTTCAATAAAACTACATTTTTCATTGGTCATAGGACAACAGAACAGAGAGTAAGTTCAACATATTTCACATCATTAAAAATAAATTTTATTCCTCCTTTCAATATTCACAAATTATTAAATTGCTCTGTTTTTATGATAACCGCCCTAATGAATGCACATCCTCAATGTAATCTAACAACAACTGATATCATTTTTCACTTACACTGATCATTAGAATTAAAGTCAGACATAGAAGTTAACTGTGAATAAGCATTTCCTGTTGATGAATAAACCATAGGATTTCTTTTCATTGATGGTAGTCTTTGAATTGGTGACTGTAAATAAACATTGTCATTTTGATGAAAACCATTATTGTTCAATGTAATATTTGACTGATTCGAATTGCGATCACATGTGGAATAATGAATATTTGGTAAATTGACTGAAGATAAATTTTGACCAACAGGTTGATGATAATTATAATAATGATTACTGCTGTTATAATTATCGATTTCATATGTATAAGGGAAAGAACATAGTTGCGTGGAATGTAGATGATTATTATAACCTGACGAATCGATATGATTATTGTAGTTGTTGTAATTATTATTACTGGCATTAGTAGCAGTAGAAGTAGTAGTAGTAGTGGTAATTTTGAAATTGTCATTGATCGAAAAATGAGGAGAGTATGTATTATGTTGATCAAAAGCTTTCACATTTCTATTTGTAAATCTATCAAGTGTATTTATATTTGGCCAAACTGATGTATTATTATTGTTGAGTATAGCAAATTCTTCCCTACTAACTATGCTTGAGTCAATATGTTCCGTTTTCGACACCGGCTCATGAATTGTACTTGTTAAATGAGAATTTGGACGTTGTTTCACACTTGACGCGGATTTCTGATCCAATATACCATCATAATTTATAATTGGCAAAGTTTCCATATTTTTATGAAATCCACCATTTTTAATTGAACTTGTAGTCGATATAATAATTGGATTACATTCAGTTTCATTTGATGATATAATCATTGTTTTCACAGACCGGCTTGATTTCTGTTTACAATGTGTACGAATCCAAATTAATGTACCAGCGATGATCAGAATTAAAAACATAGTGAATATGATCAATGAAATCAATACAAAACGATTATGATTATTATTCAACCAGAATGGAATTTTTAAATTTGAACTAATCGATTGATTCGTTTGATGATGATGAGTCATCCTCAAATTATTCGATCGCCATTCATTGAAATTTGGATTAGGTGCATTGATTTTTATGTAAAATTGTGTTTCTTTTGATAATGGTGGTGTACCCATATCTTGAAGTAATATTTTTAAATGATAAATACCTTCATTCGGTTCAATATTTGTAATATTTGTTTGAATGTTATTATAATCTGGCGGGAAATGTGAATTTGAATACCAATTGGTAAATAATTCACCTGTTGATTCATTTAAATAGAAATAAACACTTCCATTAGTAGATTTATTTAATTTATACAATATTGTACCATTTAAACCTTGATCTGGATCATAACCTCGGATTTGTGTTACTAAACTATGCACTGGTGTATTTGTATGAATCACTGGATGATAACCGATTATACTATCATAAATAGGATATGTACACATTGGTATATTATCATTTTGATCTAATATACGAATACTAATTGTATGTGTTACACTATGCACTAATTGTTGTACACTTTCATCATAAGTAATAATTTCACAGAAAATAGTCGCTGTTGTCTCACGATCAATAAGTGATTGACTAACAAGTAATGCTTTCAATTCACCATCATTGATTAGTTCATCTAGTGTTGATTGAGAATAATTAAAATTTAAATCTGGTAGAATTTTTACATAGTTTGTCATTTCATTGAGTTTTGGATGTTGATCATTGATCAATTTTAAGTGGATACGTGAATTTCTGCCTTTATCTAAATCAATTAAATGAATGAAATCAATGAAAGTATTGATCTTTTGATTTTCTTCAAATTTCAATTCTGTGGAACTAATTAATTTTGGTAAATTATCATTGATATCAATTAATTCAATGATTAATTGTGCCGTGGAAGTTAAACCGCCTTTATCTGTAGCTATAATTGATAAATATAGAAACTCGGTTTGTTCACGATCTAATAAATGACTATGTAATACACGAATAACACCAGTTGATTGATCAACTTGAAATGGTTGTTGCTGTTGTTGTCGGTGTTGTTGCGTATGTTGATCTCCTTCAACATTGAATGTATCAATTAAAACACCAGATTCTGTAGTGATTGGACCTAATTGATAAGTTAATTGTCCATATTCACCACTGTCTAAATCATGTGCTTTAATTTCAGTGACTAATGATCCTTCAGGAAAATGTTCAGGTATTTTTACATAATATTTAGTTTGTGTAAATAATGGCATATTATCATTTTGATCACGTACTGCCGCTGTAATACGAATTAGATGCGGTTTCACTGGTGGTGGTGTTGGTTGCTCTTGTGATTTTTGTGTGAAATTTTCCTTCTCTACTTGTTCAACACCAGCTAAATCTAAGCATTCAATTAATAAGGCAGCTCGTGGTATCTTTTCATAATCAAGTACACCTTTTGTAAATACAAAAAATACTGTGTCCGAAACTGCATGCAATCTTAAATAATCTTGACCAGCTTTAAGTTCTTTATCTTGTAAATGACTGGCTCCCAATTGGGCAGGTTTACAAATAACCTGAGAAAAAAAATGAAAACATTCAGAGATAATAGTTTTAAAAATTCAATTATTTTCGTTATCATAAAATAAAAAAATATTTATGGTTTAGTTTGAGTTGAAGGTAGGCAGCATACATGCGCTATGTTTAATAGTAGAGTCATTAGTTGGAAGTAATTATCGATACTGTGGAGTCGTTGTGGTTTTTACTGATCTGCACTTTAAAGTTTAGAACGTTACCCGTACATATTTTTGTTTACAGTTATTCGTCAATAATTCATTCCGTGTAACATAAATGCTTTAGAGTTACCAGTTGGTTAGAGTTAGAAAAATAATCAACTTGGTTTCGACTTAATGATCTGAAAGTAGAGATACTGGTAGGAGAAATAAATTTCTCAGCTCTCACATCCGGTCTACACAATTGTCCGATCTTTTTCCTAGTTATAACCTAGGATAATCCTACCGTCTCCTGCTATCCCCATTGCTATACTAAAGACAAATTAAATGAACTGACTTTATACGTCTGTCTATAAGCGAACATACAAATAACAGAGAGAAATTATTTTCATTTGGAGTGATGGAGATTAGTGCTTTTTTACACATCGTTGAAATCATCAATCAATCATTGTTAGACCAACATTAGAAACCTGGAAGCACTGAAAGTCGGTAGTTTCGTCATCAGCAGTGCGCATCCACGATTCCTGCACCTCGTAGGACCATTGGGATGGCATACAGCGGTGGTCCAAAGGTTAGGCGTTTGAGCACAATACCGAAGGTCCCGGGTTCGAGTCATGCGAGGATCAGGAGTTGTGGATGCCGCACTGTTGGTGAGTCCCATACCAGGACGAAACGGCCGTCTTTCAGTGCTTCCAGGTTTCTAATGTTGGTCTAACAATGATTGATTGATGATTTCAAGAGAAAAATTAAATTATTTATTCAATCTAATCAATAATTGTGTAACCCACACACACACACACTCTCTCTCTCATTAATATTTTACTATAATGTTCATCTCTTCATTGAGTAAGTTGATTTTGGTCAATTGTGTTGTTGTTCGTGTTGTTACCTATACCTCTCGTTCTCCTTCCTTTTCTTGTTAATAAAATCATTATTCATGTTAATAGAATAAATGATTAGTTTATTGCGTGATAATAAAAAATTCTCAGGTAGAAATGCTTATTTGGATATTTATCAATGTGTGTGTTTAGTAGGGATAGATTTCTCACTACTATGTTCATTCGAATACATTACTTTCAAGTCGATTAGACTTGATAGTTTATTTTGGCAAAAGCTTTTCACAAAATAAATTGAAAGTTGATTAGTAGTGAACTAAGCACCGGATATCAATTAATGTACATTGTATTCATTTCAAACAATCGATTAGAACTTTACTCTATGGTCATCCAATAAACTGTATAGAAAATCAGTTCACTAACTATAAGATTTCTTATGTGAACATGATTGTAAATGATGGATGGAGTGAATTGATCATCAAAAGTGATGGTTGTTGAATACTTCAGGCTAGCTTAGTGGTTGATAGCTTTGAACTATTGAATGTCAACTCAGTGGTTGCAATGTAACTTAGCTGCTCAGTTGACTGACATTCTAGGGTTTGACCTGACAAGGTTTCGTTCGTGAAAGAATATTGTTAATTTTTGGTCTCAGAATAGAATGAATCAGTTGTTTACAGCTTTCTGAATAAAAGTGAGTATTCAAAATGGAAAACCTTCAAAGATCTCCCCTTCTCACCATCATCATCAAACAGGAATAACCACTGATCTATAAAAGTTTTCACCAATCCAGAATGATTTAAACTGACAATGAGGATAAGAGTTTGTAGGCGTGTTTGTTTGTGTAAAAAAAACTCTACTACTAACTGACTAGTATTGTTAATCTTAAATGTTTGTTTAAATACATTAGGAGTTAAACGATTCTATTTGTCACAGACTGATATCAACTGTACTAGAAATCAAGAATAACTTACACACTCGTCCATTTCTGAGCAATAATTCATCAAGCCCTAGAAAGACACCAACTCTTACGTATTATTCACAGTATTTAGTGAAGGTTTCTTACTCTAACCCTTTCTCTCTCTCTTGGTGATCGACTGGATAATGAAAACGTCAACATCTCGAAGGAAGAACGGGATACAGTGGACAGCCAGGACGCAGCTGAGCGATCTAGTCTTTGCGGATGATCTGGTTCTTCTATCGCACACGCAACAACCAATCCAAGAGAAAACGACTAGTGTAGCAGCAGCCTAAACAGCCGTATGTCTCTCAACATATACAAATGGGAAGAGCAAGATTCTCCGAAACAACACAACATGCATAACCCAAATCACACTTGACGGTGAAGCTATGAAGGATGTGAAAATCTTTACATATTCGGCAGAAAACTTGGTGATTTAGGTGGATCTAATGCAGATTTGAAGGCGCGGAGGATGGCATTCCTACCACTGAGAAACGTCTGGAATTCAAAACAAATATCAATCAACACCAAATTCAGAATTTTCTGTACTGATGTCAAGAAAGTCACACTGTATGGAGAACTACTAAAGCAATCATCTGGAAGATGTGAGTGCTTATTAACAGTCGTCTACGCAAAATACTTCGGATCCGTTGATCAGACACTATCAGCGACAGCCTACTGTGGGAGAGAACAAATCAGATCCCAGAGGAGGAAGAAATCAGGAAGAAGCGCTGGATGTGGATAGGATATACATTGAGGAAAGCACCCAACTGCCTCAGAAGACAAACCCTTGCCTGGAATCCTCAAAGTCAACGGAAGAGAGAACGTCCATGAAACACACTACACGGAGAAATGGAGACAGACATGAGAAGAGTGAACAAACATTGTGAAGAACTGGAAAGGGAAGCCCAGGACAGGGTAGGCTGGAAAATACTGGTCAGCGGTCTATGCTCCATTGGAGGTAAAGTAAGTAATTTGGTTAATAACTTAGTAATCGACAGTGTGAATCAAAAGCCTAAACGATTTAGTTCGAAATCGAATTACTGTTTCAATGACCAATTTATAATAACTGATTAAACAAACCTAGTTGTTTATCGATCTTTCCACATTGTGATCACAAGATCTTCATACTTATTGTTCAATCAATCAATCAAGTTTGTACATATTTAACTTATTATAGTATTATGCAACAGTTTGAGAAAATTTTAAGTTTTTCGCCACCTATTTTATTATAGTCAACCAAAAGTTTTTCAACACTAGCACTCATTAAGTTTCATAATGTCAATTTTTTTAGGTTCAAAATAATTTTTAGAATTTTCTAATCGTTATCATCAAAATCGATAGATATTCACAACAGCTGTAATTTTCATTCGATTGTTCACACATATGTATATCATTTGAAGGCTTGTGGTAACAATTTTTATAACCCGAAAATGATGATTATCGAAGGATCACATCAGTATATATATATATATATATATATTCTGAGGATACTGTTTAACTCCGTTTGCAACCCTTCTAAGGTTACTGCCGGTCCCAAGCATGGATAAAGTAGGAAGGTATAGTATGATGGGGTTAGCTACCTCATCATACAGAAAACCAACTCGCTAAGAAGCCGCTAACCAGACTACATAATTCAAACCAATTAAACTTTGCCGTGGGAGTTGAAATGTCTACATTTAGTACAGTTATGACATCACATGATGAGAACCGAATTTCTTCGGTAGTCACGAGGCCAGTGCTGACAACCAGACCAACCATTAATATAGTTAGTTACATGGAGTGTTCGTACATTGTGGGAGATTAAGCTGAGAATTGGAAGCAGACATACAAATGATGGATGGCAATCGGCTAGCACTAGAAAGGAAAGCTGAAGAAGGTTAGAAAATTCGAGGTTGCTGGTCGTCGGCCTATGGTCCATTAAGGGTAATGGGCATAAGTAAATAAGTACTGAATTCTGTTTAACTGTTTAAATTCTAGAAACATTCGCATCAATCAGACAGGAGGACCCCTTTTTTGTTTATGGTAGTCCATACTTGCATGAATAACTGCGATAATGTTTTCTAGTTCCTATTTCTGCAATCATCTCTCATGTCACTTAACTGATTGTTCTCTAATTTAGTTTGCTAATTTCTCAATGTCCTTAAGCTCATGCTTATGGCTACATATGTATATTCTATACTACATATTTAACTTCCTAAATATCAGGCTTTTCCTCAACTCCTTTTTGACTTCCCTCTGTCAATATTGATTGTATCAAACAATTGCGCAACATTCATTTGGTTTATCTTGTCCACGATGATACAGTTTCCTAACTAGAAGAATGCCGCATATTGTTTAAAAAGTTAAGAGTTACTGTTAGTTGATCTCAAACTTTAGTGTATTCATGGAAAAAACAAAACATATATGTGTAGAATATCCATAATTTTAATCACACATTGATGTTAGTTAAACCAACATTGAAATTATGAAACACCAGAAATCCGTTTTGTCCCGATATAAAACTTGTCAGTAGTACCCATCCACAGTCGAGCACCTGGGAAACAAACCCTAGAATGTCAGTCTAGTGCATGAGCTCTCAACATATAGACAACTGAACAAGCACTCGATTGTGTACACCAGACCAAGGTTCTGTGTTCAATTTCAGATTGTGGATTCGTTGGTATACATAGCTAAGGAATCTATGCTAGTGTCGCAGCCATCTGGTGATTACAGATTTATAGTGCTGGTCTAGTTAAGATCAGTTTGTAATTTAAAATAATGAAAATTCTACAATCTTCACGAATCCTCCTATAACTATGAATCGATCGTATGAATTTTTAGCTAACAGGGAAACACGCAACAGGAGCTGCGTCTTAACTGAAATTCACTAACTAGGTGTTTCTATACATGGATCAAGAATTTCCTAAAATAAAACATTTGCACTTGTGTTGCTTTGAAGAGTAACATTCAAGTTGTAAATGCTGACATTTAGTATTCTTGCCTGCCTCTCTCTTTATGAAAAAAAACTTATCTGTTTTTCATTATAGTTGGTAAATATATCAATATTCATACATTGAAATCATCAATTAATCATTGTTAGATCACCATTAGAAACCTGAAATCACTAAATGGCCGTTTCGTCCTGGTATGGGACTCATCAGGAGTGCACTTCACTACTCTTGCTACTTGTAGGATTTGAACCCAGGACCTTCGCTCCTGCGCAAGAAAGCCTAGCCTCTGGACTTCAGTGTTTAAAAACACTGATTTCTATAACTCCAATTGAAAAAAGAACAATCAATATTCATCGTTACATAACTAATTAGTGGTCAATAGTCTATTTTTTCATTTAGAAAATTAATTAACGTAAAATTCTTCTTTTATCTTCCCGTCCAAATTTCAATGTTTTTGCATTCTGTCCCAACATCCAAACCATCTCACCTTGCCCAAGGAATTCATTCATTTAAACATACAAAAATAGAAAAAAATTACCTTGTCCTAAAACTTAAAACAAAAAATTCCACAACAAAAGATATCTCAATCACAAATTTTGTTTGATGTGAATGAACTCTTCCATTTGTTCAATTGTCAATTCAATTTAATTTTCTTAACATGAATTGATCATTTAACCATCTGATCACTACTACTAACACCACCACTATGTTGTACACACTAATTTTTTGTTTGTTCACACTTTGTTTTATCCACGTGTATCGTCGCATCGATTTAGAGTATAAAAAGAAATAGTCAACAAAAATGTTTGGTAAACATAACAGTTGAAAAGAAAAAACAGTAATACTAATCATCGTAATAATATTGGGATTTTTTGACAAAAGAAATCGAATGAAACAATTTCACACGATCTTCTTTCTACTTCCTCTAAATACTGCCATTCTCTCCTCCCTTCTTCTATTTTTTTGCTTATCACTTTTTACTTTGAGTCGAAAAAATAAAAACAAACAAGTGAAAAATTCCTCTCTATCACTTTGTTTATCTAATTGGCTTTTTTTCCCGTTTGTTTATACTAATTAATTTGGTGAAGTTCAAAGCAGATGATAAAGTGTGTGTGTGTGTATATATGTAAAGATACATCCTTCTTATCGAAATACTCACGCAATGTATCTAAGTAAGTATACATTGTGATTAGTTATTTGATTAGAAGAAATAGTATTTAACATATTTAGCATGGATGGATGATGACTAGCAGTAGAATCCATGGGATGCGTTTCAATCTATTTGTGACGCGTCAGGTAGATGTACCTACATACCAGTGTTGATGTGTTGTCCAGGATTCGAACCGTGCACCGTCTGTTTCAAACGCCATAGCGTTATCCACATAGTTAATGCTAACCACCAATCAACATCTCTTCTGAGATTTGACCAGCAAAGAATGGAACTCTTTAGAATTGATAATTAAGTTTCACTTTAGTGAAAAGCATTAAGCTCAAATCTATGACTTAGTATTGAGTGAGTATGACTGAGTATTTTTCTGAAATTATTTGTTAAATAACTGAGTTATATTATCGTTTACATAATTCAAATCGTAAACTATGATGTTTTGGGAGATTTGTAGCTTAGTTGGATGACTGTGATGGTGTTTTGTTCTCTGATGTGGATGTTTTCTGTTTTAAGGCTTTCATTGTTCGTGTGAACAACATCATCAATCGTACAAACTTCAAGTAGAGAAGTGAAGTATTCGAATTTCTCCACGTTTGACTCATAGCTTGTTCTGTTAACGTCAATCTTGACTGGTTACTATTGACCTTAAACCTGTCGTTGTTTGAACTGTTATTTCGACTGTATACCCCTTTGATCTGTTTCTTGATCCTATGTTTGCCGATGATTTTTATAGTTAGTTGATAAACTGGATCACAGTCAACGTTCTTGTTGACTGTTGATTGATATGAGTATCAAGTTCTAAACATTCTTTAGTGTTCTTTCTGCTCCCCCTATCCCATATTTTAACACTGTTCCAATCGAACGTATATCCATAGTTGTCCGTATGTATTGATGTAAGGGATTCATCAATCATAATTCTCATAGAACTTTTGAAGTGAGTGTTGAATCGCACTGGTTGGCGTTATAAAATGACTATAACTAGACAACTAATGAATATCGGAAGCAATAGTAGTTTTTTTCATTTTACTACTATAGACTTCCTCAACAATGTAGATTCATGGTTCGCACTGAGGATGAACCGTGCACTTATAGCTCTAATGACAGGCAATTAACATTCCGATCACTAAGTCAGCAGCCAGTGATTTGCATTTTTAATTTCAATCAGTCTTCTTTATTATATAAACAACTTCTAATGTCAGTGACAGGGAACTGCGTTATATTTTGTAAGACTGAACTCATTTAGTCACAGTTTCTCAAAAGATCTTCGGAAGTTACTTACCTATTTACTTATTACTAACTAACTCCTGTTAACCCTAGTGGAGTATAGACCGACGAACCAGCATTCTCCAACCTACTCTGTCCTAGGCTTTGCTTTCCACTTATACACAAATGCTGTTCATTAGATCATGTCTGCTTCCGATTGTCGGTGTAATTTCCCACAATGTACGAACATTCCATGTACCTATATTAATGATTGCTCTGGTTGTCAGAAGGGGTATCGGTTTCGTGACTTCCGAAGAAATTCAGCTTTCATCCTGAGACTGTATAACTGTTCAAAACGTAGACCTTAAATTCACAGAGCAGAGTTTAATTGGCTTTAATTACGTATTCTGGTTAGCGTAAGTTACTCTTCTTCAGAATGGCATCTTTTACCCCATCGTTCCCAACCCTCTTCGTTTATCAGTGCTTGGAACCGGCAGTAACCTCTTAAGGGCTACAGGCAGAGTTCTTCAAAAGTTACCTGTCAAAATTAATCATTAGTGAATACAAAAATGTGACTGCTGGAGATTTTTGGAGAATGTGGAATTTCATTAAATCTGTGTTGCACATGTTCTGGGTTTGTTCTTTGTGCTGCGTTCTCAGTTTTGTATCTTGTATATTGAATCATGTAGGTTATATGAGTAAAATAACAAAAGTTTTGCTTGTCAGAACTTCTTTGGCTCTCGGAAATTTTCATGAGACGTTTCAAAAAACTGTGAACTAACGATTACTATCCTTAGAATTGTTTATTGTAAGATAGTGGGTATTTTGAAATTGTTTAATGATGTCTATAGATCAGTAACCTAAAATTTCATTCAAGAATTTTGAGTGATCGTAGCTTTAACTTTGATCATAAACACTACGAACTAGAATCTCAAGAAGCGAACATGAATCCTCCCCTTAAAGTTATTATAATTTCGAGATTTACACAAACATAGAGAGATTTTTTGAAATTTATTAACAGAACTCAATCATAGTACTTTTCGTACACAACTCAATTAAGCTCTCCTAAATAAAACTAACCCATATATATTCATGTCAAAACAAAATCAGCACAGTTAAAGCGTATGAAACAATACTAGTTCACATCGAAAATTTATGAAGTTTAATTATTGATTCAACTAACCAATTATGTCCAGTACACATACTGACTAGTCAATCAAATTGTTTACTGTTAGTTATAACATAAGTAAATATAACTCATCAGAAGGTTTGATGTTGACAGTTTGATCAATGAAAGTTTTCAGTAATCAATTAAAAATCGTTCGATCTAATACTCAAAATGGTCAGGGTTTTTTATAGAAAAAAATTCGTCATGATCAATGCCAAACAACTTTAACCTAATATTTCTGTCTGATATTAATCGAAATGCATAAACTATAGTATACTACTGGTGAGCTTCAATCAGTGTCAAATGACCTCAAGGTGAAAAAGTTCATTGTTAGCCAATCATAGAATAATGATTCATTCATGATTTCAAGGTAAAAAGTAAATCCTGTTCTGGATTGGTTAATAAATTTTATCACGTTCACACTGGGTCGCACTGTTTGAAGATCGAAACTAAATCAGTGGAGTGACTCATTTTTGCAACTGTATTCCGCTTCTGGGTAAAAATAATTTCCCGACTGTTATCATCACAATCCCTGTACATTATTTGCAAGAACTTCATAATGAAATGTCCTTAGTGTCTCACTCTACCATCTGTCAATAAAAACGGTGGTACTTGAGTGAGCTAATTTTTCAGTTACAGAAATAAAGGTCTGCAACGTCTTGTCTTTCATTTCTGGAAAACCTTCCTTCTGAAGATTTCCTATCCTAAATCTCTGCTTTGATTAAATAAAAAAACACTTATCGATTCTATATTTAGTTCTCTTTCAGGCAAAGAATTCCAAATGAAATCTCTTATTCATTAAAGCATAGATAGAATTTGTCAATATTGGTCACCGAACAAAAGTTACAATGAACATAACCTTGGAGTAGGAATCTCGACTTAATTTAGTCAATGTTCAATCCCGCATCATCTAAAACTACTGGAAATTGACTTAGCAACAAAAAAAATCAAATATCAATGTGTATCATGTTAATTCTCACATTAAAAAAAACAAAAACTTACATTTCCATGTGATACTTCATCTTCATCTCGAATATAAAAACGAATAATTGGTTTTGTGAATACTTGTCCTTCAGGTATTGTAATATTCTCTTGTACAACTAACATCGGTATATTATCATTCATATCTTTAATTTGTACATAAATTGATAAACTACTTGATAACTGTGGATGTCCAGCATCTTTCACTATAATTGGTAATAGAAATTGACGTTCTGAATAAATTTCATAATCCAAAGGTTCACGTATTGTAATTGCACCATTTCTTGAATCAATTGTAAATTTTGTTTGAACTAAACTATTCACTAATGGACTAAATGAATATGTTAATCGACCATTATCACCAGAATCAACATCAGTTGCATTTACAATAAAAAATGGTTTATCATTCATTGTTGTATTCTCTGGTAATACAATCAAACGTTCTGCATCAGTGTAATATTTAATCACAGGTGAATTATCATTAATATCTAATAATCGTACAACAATTGACAATGAACCAGTCAATGATGGATCACCTCCATCGATTGCATACAGCGTAGCATAAATTTCACGATCATCTACATTTTCATAATCTAATGATCTAAGTAGTATTAATTTTGGATTTAAATTATGCGGATGCATTGAGTTGCCACTACCATAAATAATACTAATATTTAATCGTGGCTCTTTATTTGTCTGTTCTATTAGTTTATACATAACTATACCATTCACTTCAGAATCAGCATCTGATGCGATAGGTAAACCTTCATACCCAGTTGTATCACCTTCACGAATGTATATCACAAATGGTCGATTGACTAATTGATGCGCTATATTTGACGGATTATATTTAATCATACTGGTTGACATAAATCGTGGTGGATTATCATTAGCATCGTTAATTCGAATGTATAAACGTACAGTCGTCTGTTGATTGGATTCATTCAGTTGCATTGAATGCTGTGTGAGCACCTTCTTATTGTCGTAGTTATGAGTCATAGGAGGATCTTGTTTCATGAATACACTTTTGGTTGAATAAGAATTCGATTTCCAATGTGTATCCCATTGTTTAGTAAGAATAATATTTGCTTCAATTTGACACACGACAGATGAGCAACAATCTAATGGACCACATATATCATTAGTATCATCACGATCAATATGACGTAATGTGATTAGATCACCATTTGGGGTTAATTTAAAGAAATCACTTAAATGTTGTAATTTTATAGAAGAAATAAATAAGAATGTGGATTTTTTAGCATAATCTGGTGATAAATTTTCGGCTATATTACCAATTAATGAACCAGTTGGTGTTTCATCCGCAAGATTATAAATCACAGTTGGGATTTCATCACTACTTATATATGTTATAAGTAGTAAGGTTATGATTATGTTGGAATAGATTAGAAGCCAATGAAATTGCATCATTTATTGTTGAGTTTTTGATAATTATTAGAAAATTATGAGTACAGGGATTTGATCATGAGTTCTATCAATTGAATGGAATTGTCTGAAAAGTGAAGAAAGGAAATGGATTCGGTTACAAGAAAGAGATAGAAGGCACAATAAAAAGATGTATTCTCCATTTTCAGCTCACACAGATCATAACTAAGGTCTGTAGTTTGAGTCGAGTAGAAATATTGATATTTTAATAACATTTATAGTAGTGTAACAAAAATCATGATCCGAATGCTATGTACACTTTTCATTATAGAAATAAGGAGACTGTTGTTTTACATGGAAATCGTGAATCAATCATCGTTAGACTACCATTAGAAACCTGGATGCACTGGACAGCCGTTTCGTCATGGTTTAGGACTATCCAGCAGTTTGCATTCATGACCAAATCCGGCAGGAATCGAACATAGAACGTTCAGCCTCACGCTCGAACGTGATTCATAATTTCAATCAAAAACATAAATCTGCATATCTCAATAATGAAATCATACAATGTGCTCACTAGTGACTGGCTTCATGAGGGAATTCTCGAAGTTCTAGTTAGAAGCCGTGACCATTGAATTACAGCCCTGTCAAGGGTATGCAGCAAACACAGAAGACAGTGGTTGAATTTGCTCGAAACCTTTGACTGATCGCAGACTTAAACAGCATTGGATGCCGGCTCAATGAACTAAGAGTTGAGCCGAAGGTCGTAGGCTTGATTCCTGAGTGCAGGAATCGTGAATGCGCATAGCCGAAGAGTTCTATACTAGTTCCAAACCGTCGTCAAGTGCTGGTAAGTTTCTAATGGTGGTCTAACATCGATCGATTCATAACTACCCATTTTTCTTTCTTTCCTGATCTATCTGTCTATCTATCCATACGTTGGTGAGGCTTGTGAAAGCTAATGATTATGCCAATGTCATAAAAGAGGTCTTCATAATGATCATAACTAGTACACTTATCATCACACTATCAATCTGAACTGTTTTTTCATTCAACTAATATCATTGACTAGGAAATTGCCCTGAATCAATTTATAATCTCACTGAAGATAGTGGATAAGTTTGCGTAAGACTTTGGATTGCCTGAATTAAGACATTAACACCGTTAGGTGCCGGCCCAAGGGGTTCAGATGTTAAGCGCTCGCGCACGAGATTAAAAGTTCTGCGTTCGACTCCTGCGAGTAGCGTGAGTCCTTTTACGCACTACTGATCAATCCCATACCAGGACGAAACGACTGTCCAAAGCTTCCAGGTTTCTAATGGTGGGCTAACACTGATTAATTCATGACTTCATATATAACGTATGTTGGAACAAAGCCTCATAAAAACTTAGTCGAAATCAGTACCGTTCATCTCATTAAGTTGTACATTTCACGTAAATTCTTCGAAGCCCACCAAATTCAATAAATTAACGAAATCATTTTCTATTATCAAAATTTCAATAATCAAACTGGACATAAGTGATTTTATGATTAATTACTATGAGTTGACTTTGAAACATAGTACAAGGAAAGTTTAATACTCATAAATGTAAATGCAGCATACAAACATTTAGGTTTCATTTAATTTAGTCTAATGATTTACTTGAAACAAGTGTCATAAAACAACTGTATTCAAATAAAGTCTGATTATTATTCATAAATCTTCACTACTTTAAAATACTCATCATATTTCTAAAATAAATTATCTCAATACATACAATTTTGTTGTGACTGATTATTAAATGTCCATTTCAAAAACAACCTAAAATTCATGGTCAAATTGAAGTTTGATTTCTTTTTTAAAATTAAAATTTTCTATTTTCAACATTGCTAAAAATAAACTTGCATGTTTTTGACATGAAATCAATTCAATTGAAATGTTGAAATTTGTTTTACACAAAGATCATTTCTTTTATAACACTAAAATAATGTGTTTCAGAATATAATTGAACACTGAACAGCATGCTAAATATTCGAAGGAATTGGTTTAATTTTCTTAACTGCTTGAAAAGTAAACACTTTCAACTTAGATTGAGTTGATGAGTCGCTGGTTTGCAATCTTGACCAATAAAATGTATCAAATCCACTCCACATTTGATTAAATTTATTTCAAAAATGTGTGACTGAAGTGTTGAGTATGAATCTGCATATGATGTCCTTGATTTGAATGAACAAAATACTTTATCAGTAATTAATATTCTCAATGTTCAATCACAAATCATTCACTCGATATAAACAATCACTGACTGTTCAAATTCATTATTCCAAGGTCAACAACATTATGACCTAAAAGTTAATGAATGTTGGTTGACATACATTTCGAAATCAAATTGAAAAAACGGCTAAAAAATACATCTCAATTGTTTGATTAGAAAAATCAATTAGTTGAACAGCTTGAATGATGATTCTGGAAAAAAAGAAAGTGGTTTGTTTTTGAAAGAAGCATAGGCGACAGAAAATTTTCAGTTCGTAGATTCTGTCTGTGTGTGTGTGTGCAGTGTAGATGAAAGTTTGTTTTACCAAATTAATTATCAAGCTAAAATTATTTGATTCAACATAGTGAAAAGAATTTCAACATTGAAAAAAAGTTTAATTATTTGTCTCACATAATTAATTTTAAAAAGAGTAGGATAAATATTCTGTCTCTACTGTTGTGTGGTAAGAATGTCTTCTTAGGAAAAAAACACTGAATATTTTGGAAAATGCGACTGACTGACTGATTGACTGACTTGCAAAGTAAGTGATTAAATATGCTGATTAGCAAAATCATTCATCAGTTCTTGTTATGCCGTTATGGAAGCAGACTAGAGAAAACCAGGCTGATTTTCGACCTGGACGTGGTTGTATAGACCACATTTTCACACTACGTCAGGTCCTGGATCACAGACTTACATTTAGGCGTCCTACAATAGTTGTTTTCCTGGACCTTAAGGCGGAATTCGACTCAGTGGACCGTGAGGTTCTGTGGCAGTGTCTGTCATTGAAAGGTGTACCAAAGAAGTACCTGAACTAGTGATAGGGAGTGAAGTAGTCGAGCGTGTCGACCACTTCAATTATCTTGGGAGTCTCATCAGTGCCGATGGCCTGGTGACTGACGAAATTTCAGCACGGATACAGAAGGCTCGATTGGCTTTTGCCAAGCTGCGTCACTTTTGGCGTAGGCGAGACATCCGTTTGCTGACTAAAGGACGAGTGTACTGTGTAGTAGTTCACTCCGTCTTACTTTGTGGCTGTGAAACATGGCCAATGAGAGTAGAAGATATTGGTAGGTTACTGGGGTTCGATCATAGGTGTCTTCGAAGCATTGCTCGTATATCGTGGGACACACGAGTGAGCAACGCTGTTATTAGGAAACGGGCACTAGGTAAGAATGGCAGATCAATAGATGAAGTGGTGAATTTTCATCAGTTGAGGTGGTTGGGACACGTGTTGCGTATACCTAACCAGAGACTGCCTCGTCGAGCTTTGTTTTGTAGTGTAGGAATAGGTTGGAAGAAAGCTAGGGGCGGCCAGACCAAAACATGGCATAAATCCATGAAGTCATTGACAAGTGGACTGAGCCATGTCGGTAGTTGTCGGCTACCTGGTTGGGGTCCGCGAGATGATAATAATCGATGGTTAGAGACCTTGAATGACATGGCTCAAAATCGTTCGCAATGGCGCCGGTGCATTTATTCTTTGTGTTCTCTCAAATCCTAATCTTCTGGGTTCTTCAACACCCCTAGTTTTTACTTTCTAAACTTATCTCATTTAATCATACTTCGTGAATAATATCTTCTAATTCTAACCTCTCCGATTACTTCTAATACCTTTACTACCTCTTCTACTATTGGATTTGAATTGAAAATTATATCTCTGTGCTGATGTGGTATGGCGACATGAACTGATGCACTTGCGTACAAAGTTCTACGCTGCTACGGTGACTGACTGTTATGCCGTTATTCAGAAGAAAATATGGCTACGCCTCCACGCTCTGTTATCCTTCTGCTGCTACTCTATGTAGATGGTTTCAGATAATTTATTGTGAGTTGTTAAGTAGTTGGAAAATTCCATTTAAAAATTTATTCACACTATCAGTGTAATCGGTGAGGAACTGGTTTTTTTTTTACAGATTTTATGATTGTGATTCCAGTCACAGTTAGAATCATGCTTGGAAACGTTGCACATATAAAGTCATTGCAGGAGTCGTATTGAATTCAAAGAGTTGTATTATCAATTTTTTGTAAAAGATCTTTTAGGTGTTTAATGAAATTCATTTCTGCTCATTCAGTCGTAGCTTTTTTTCAAACACTCAACCGATAACCTGACAGAATCATCTATAAGCATCTTAATTCTGTAAATATCATTTTCATTATTCAATTAAATGACTCCATGACATTTAATCAAGTCTTAAAATGACAAGCTGTTTTTATCATACATTCAATTTCTTAAAGCTCTTAAGAGTTCGTTAAATAAGATTGTAGGATTTGTATTGATTAACATCATCAACGAATAGAGATTTTTTTGACCAAACGAGTTGTTGGTTGTATTTTCGATAATTAACAGTGAAAATTCACGAACTCAAGTTACAGTATCAACTCTGTCAATACATTTATTGTCTTCGAAGGCGTAATTTAAAATGACATAGATAAATTTCTCATGATTTTCAGCACTACGTTCACTTAACTGTTTGAAATTCCCTAGATTTATGTACGTTATCTCAAACTTGTTGTAAGAAATCAATTCACTTTAATAGTGCAAGAACTTAACTGAGAAAAAAAAAGATACTTTTGTTTTAAGCCTATGAACTAGATATTCTGCGATTTAAGTTTTTTTTTTATTTCATTAACTTCTGAATTCTCATGAGGTATGATTTTGTAAACAGTCAGTCAAAGTTTTTTAGCTCATTCAATCTTTTCCCATAAAACTTGTGCTATTCACTTCACGTAGAATAACCAAGAGAAATAATTGTAAGTTTTTTAGAAACTAGGAAACGATGACATTGGTAGACGGAATATATGTTGCA